TACTAGAATTAGAATTTAAATTCTCTAAATATTTTACTAGAATAATAACTAGATATTCTAGTAAAATAGGAACTAAGCTTGGCTTAATTCTAGAAAAAGCTATTTTGGTTTCTTTATTATATTTAGCCGGATAATATCTAATATAGTAGCCGAACTCGTTATAATTATAATACTTAATAATTAAGAGATCTTTAGTTTTTATAAAATATTATTTATATTTATAAGGAAATATATACTTAATAAAAATAGTAAATATAGGCTCTTTAAATTCCTTTTTAGAAATATAAAAGAATATAATACTAGAAATAAACTTAATTAAAACAGCTTTTATTTTTTTATATTTTTTAGTTTTCTTATATATAGCCTTAATTTACTAATTATTAATAATATAATATTAAATAAAGCGAGTAATATTAATAAAAAGATTATTATAATATATATATATATATTAATTCCTAAAGCTTTAGTAAAAGCTTTTTATTTAGTTTATATTTAATATCTTAAAAACTAATATTACTTTTTATAAATAATTATAAAAAGAGAATATAAAACTTCTAAAATACTTAACTAAAATATATTTAAAGCTTACTAAAGTTATAGTAAGTATTTTATATCTTATTAGAGTTAGAATATAGCTTCTTTAAATAGAAATAGAATTCTAAGAGCTAATAGTACTAATTCGACCTATTTTTATTTATATAAAAATTAGTTAGAGCAAGAGTATTACTAGTAAATTTATTAGAAATATAAATAATCTTGAAATTCTTAAAGAAATACGAATTAGTATTTGTTTATAGTTTATTTTTAATCTAAACTAGCTAGTTATTAAAAATAGTATAATCTCTAGTAAAAATAATTAAATCTAGAAGCTTAGTAATTCTAATACTTTTAAAAGAAATATAAGATATAAGGGATTCTAGATAGAAATAAGTAAAAAATAATTCGGAATTCTTTAGAAAAGAATTTAAAATAGCCGGAATTATAGAAATAATAAGAGTAGCTAGAGCTATTATAAACCGATTTATTATAGCTATATAATATTTAATATTATTTTTAACTTTAGTATTATAAAGTTTAGTATTATAAAGTTTAGTATTATAAAGTTTAGTATTCTCGAAAATAGCTTTATTATAACTATAGGTATTTTTATATAATATAGCTTTATAAATATTTTTCTAATAACTTTTTATAATAATATTAATATTTCAGAATAAAGTATTAGGCTCTTTAGCCTATTTATATAACTTTTTAGTAATAATATAGTTTTTGGTTTCTAGAAGCTTTATAATAAAAGTAGAGAATTCTATTTCTATAAACTTATTTATAAATTCTTTAGAAATATTAATAGAATATTCGATTAGAGAAGAGCTACTAATAGGATAACCTGAACTAGTAGGAGCTTTATTAGAAGCCTTAGCAGAAATTAGTATAGTTTCTAGTTATATAATATTCTGGAAAATTAATTTATTATATTTCCTTTATTATATTCTTTTTAGTAATCTTATTACTAGTATATATATAGGGCCTATAAGGTTATAAAATAGGGCTTAAGAATAGTAATTAGATTACTAGCCTATAGGTATCTATTACTCTAGGACTTAATTAAAAAATAGCCTTTATTTAAGGTTTTTCGATTTTCGGGTTTTTAGAAAAGGTTTTTAATATATTACTAGTATATATTTATAAAGATATAAATACCTGATTTCTCTAAAGATTCTAAAGCTTTTTGCTTTTATTATTCTAGAATCTATTACTTATATTTCTAAGGTTTTATTATTTTAGTAGTACTTATATTTCTAATAGTTCTAAATTAGTTTATTTAAAATTCTTTATAGAATTAAAAAAAGTAAGCTTTAAATACTATTATAAATATAATATTTAGGGCTTAAAAAGCAAAATAGAAAATCTCTTATAAAAACGATTTAAAGCTAAAAAAGAGAAAACTAGAATATAAGAGGCTATAAAAAAGTATATATATCTTATAATATATTAGTCTCGAAAAAACTAGTCTTTTAAATATTTCTAATATATTTCAAGTATATTTCCTTAGTAAGGCAGCCATATTATATATATCTAGAAGGCATCTAATATCTAGCCAGGTATCTCAAATACTAGATATCTGGGAATTATAATATTAAGCTATAATTAATATTATAAAAAAAGAAAATATTAAAATATTAAATTAAAAAGAAAAATATAAAAAAAAATATAAAAAAATACTAGGCTTTTAGTTTTATTATATAAAAAGAAAATTAGTATATTTCTATAAAAATCTTTAATACTTTTATTTTATTTATATAAGTATTTCCCTTAAACGAATCCCAAAATAAATATTTATATATTTAAGAATTTAATTTCTTCTAGTTTCTTTTTTCTATATTTAATAAATTAATTTTTATAGTTTTATTATAAAATAAGAATTTTTTCTCTAGTTATTTTTTAATTTCTATTATATATATAAATAATAAATAATAAATATATTTCTTTTTCATTTCTTATAATTATTTAAAAAGTATATTTTTAATATATATATATTTCAAATACTATTATATATTAGAAATATATAATACTATATTTCTAACTTATTAAGGTCTCTAGTATTAATAGGAAATAAGTTTTAGAATTCCTAGAATTAGTATAATAGCTAGTTTCTAATTAAAAAAAGCAAATTATAATAAGAATAAATACTAAATATAATAAGAGTTAGTAAAAATACTAAAAGTACTAGCCTTATAATTTCCCGATTATAAAAGTAATAAATATTTAATTATATATTTTAAATAAAATAATATATGAAATAGGCTTAGTAAAAATACCTAATTTCTAATATTAATAAATATTAATACTATTAATAAAGTATTAATTCCCGGAATCTAATTTCTTTCTTTAATTATAATTAATTTTAGAACTATTTTTATTATAAAAAAAACTTTTAATAATATGAATATTTGTTTAATTTAGGCTTTCTATTTAGCTATTTATTTTATAATTTAGACTGAAACTTGTTTTAATACGGCTAGTTTAAGTAAAAAATAGCTTTTGAGATTTTTATAAGGCTTGCTTATAATAAGCATTTTAATTAAAAATATAAATATAATATTAAATTAAGATAATATTAACTTTTATTAATAATATTAAGTAATTCTTTTAATAAAAAGACTAGAAAATAAAGAAATTATATATAAATACATTATTATATAAATTAAATAATAAATGGAAGAGATAATTTAAGGCTAAGCATTAATTCGGTATTAATATATATTAATCCTTGCAATACCTAACTAATACCATCCAGTATTAATACCTTATTAATACTAAAAGTATTTTTGCCAAGCCTGGCGTGGAATCAGGCAGTGGCGAATCTGGACCCGCTATAATTATTCCCGGGGGGGATATTAATAGAGGATCATCAGGTCACGCGGCGTGTTAGGGCGCTTCTTATTAGCGGATAAAAGAGCTGGTTCTCACACTTGCAGAAGCTGGGTTTCATCCATTTGAGGCATCTTAACATCGCGAATGAAATGTCAACTTTATGCGCAAAACTAAAAGAGCGCTACAATGTGATATACAGATTTTGGTCACAGGCTCTGCTCCGAATTTGATTCTTGGGGTCAGAATAATAGAGCAGCACTCGCAGAACGCATCTAAAAAAAAAGAAAATACAGCTGTCCAATGTGATGTGCATCCACTCTGTGAGGGGGAAAATTCGCTTCAGCCTTAGGCACACATTTCGCTTAATTATGGCGCTAAGGAGTATTTAGCCTCGCTCCCAAGCTTCTACGAGCTTCACGCTTCTCTTCTAGAAATAATTACAATTCTAGAAATCTCCTCTGTTCCTATGTAACACGAATTACACCTGGTAATTCGTCAACCTGGTACTTGGTTCACTTCTGCCTATTTCATCTGAGGATCTTCAACTCTATACTGAGCGGACCCGAGGATTTGCCGGGGTGTGACTTGCCGCTGCCGCTTCTCAGTATTGATCTAGTTGGGGCGCGACTTGCTGGTAGCTCTTTTACGAGCCTGCTGACAAAAGGCTATGGTTTTAGCGATGTTTTCAGGCCTCACAAACCAAAGTCGCCGACTTCACTTCACAGTTTCACAGCAACTATAGATTAAAACCTTATATAATTCAAGCGCACGCGATAAAAGAAGCCAAAATAAGTTTAGAAGGCCTGCAAAATTAATTCCGAATATAAAATTTAATAAGTCCAAAATAGTTATAGGGTTCGTTTCTTAGCGAAATACCCTAAAACCATAGACTTTGTCAGCAGGCTCGTTAGTACCGCTAGGGTCTGCATTAAATTAGTCCAACGCCTCTGATAAATATTAATAAGTGCCGCAAATGAGAATCACCCATAGGAGTACAATAAGGTTCTAGACTAGATTGGAAAGATAATGAAATTCGTCACAAGCACATCGAACTCGTCTTGATATAGGTTAGGCTTTTCTAGCAAGTGGTCACACAAAGCATCTAACATCGGAGGTGTAACGCTTCAAGGGCATCCGACGGCGTCCGGAGGGCTTTGGTCAAGCCAAAGTAACGAAGGTTTTAGCGCATCTCGCGGACCGAACGGTCACTACAGCCAGCAACTTTAGCCATCTGAACAGTCTTGAGAGACTTATTAAGGATCATGTCACGGATCTTCGCATGTTGCGACTCTCCAGGTTCGGTACATCTAAGGAATTGATTGTCGTTTGGATAAGGGACTCACGGAAGGGGTTTTGCAGGACATGCTCGACCTAGAGGTTCTTGGTATCCTCGGAAGCAACCCCATACCAGAGAAGTCAAATAAACGATAAAGTCTACAAGTTTAGAGCTTTACTAATTACTATTACAATATTTGCTGCTGGATGGTGTTAGCAGGCAAAATTCAAAGGGATCAAGCTTGGAAGGCTTGGGTGGAGGATTCTAAGTGCCCCAGGAGTTCAGACCAGATTCGGGGCACCCTAGCGCCACTTTACGCGACGACGCGTCTTCCCAGAACTTCACTTCAATATTTCAAGCAGCGGCACCAAAAGAAACGCATAGCCTCCAGCAACATGTCTGACTTCGAGGATGATATGGATGTCGATGCGCCTGCGGTGCAAGACTCGGTGCTGTTCAGCTCAGACAACACCAATTCCAAAGGCAAGAGAAGCATCGCCAACCTGCCAGTCGAAGCGGAAGATAGCTTGCCATGGTAAGCAGAGCGCGATCGCCGTCCATTCCAGCACCTGAATTGCCTTTAGGGTCGAAAAATACCGTCCAGACACCCTCGATGACGTATCGGGGCACGAAGACATCCTAGCCACCATCAACAAGTTCGTGGATACAAATGTGAGTTCGACCAGACGGTGGAGGGAAACGCGCTCATGAAACTACAGAGACTCCCCCATCTGCTCCTATATGGCCCTCCAGGTACAGGAAAAACGTCTACGATCCTCGCTCTTGCCCGCCGAATCTATGGCTCCAAGAACATGCGGCAGATGGTCCTCGAGCTCAACGCCTCTGATGACCGTGGTATCGACGTCGTCCGCGAACAAATCAAAACCTTCGCCAGCACGAAGCAAATCTTCACCAACAACTCGTCCTCGACCTCGATTGCCGGATACAAGCTAATTATCCTCGACGAGGCGGACGCGATGACATCCACGGCACAGATGGCATTGAGACGAATCATGGAGAAATACACCGCGAACACCCGATTCTGCATCATTGCAAACTATACACACAAGCTCAGCCCCGCACTCCTGAGTCGGTGCACGAGGTTCCGATTCAGTCCGCTGAAGGAGCGAGATATCCGGGTCTTGGTAGACAAAGTCATCACGGAGGAGAATATTCAGATCACAGGGGAAGCCATAGATGCGTTGGTCCGGCTGAGCAAAGGAGACATGCGCCGCGCTCTCAACGTTCTCCAAGCCTGCCACGCAAGCAGTATGTCTTTCCCCTTTCCATCTTCTAATATTGCTTTCTAAAGACTAGCAGGCACACCACTCCACCTGAAAGGCACCCCAAAGATCGCCGAGAAAGACATCGAGCGCGACCTGATCACCGAAACCACAATTTACGAATGCATAGCCTCCCCACACCCCGAAGACATAACCAAGATCATGAACACGCTTCTCCAGACAAAGGACGTGATAACTTGTCTGCAGACGATCAATACGCTTAAGGCGACGCAGGGGCTAGCGTTGGCGGACATCATTACGGCACTGGCGGAGGAATTGAGCAGGATGGATGTCCCAGCGCCTGTTATGATTACATGGTTAGATGGCTTGGCTGAGGTGGAGTACCGATTGAGTGGTGGTGGGGGAGAGCTCGTGCAGACAGGGGCGGTAGTTGGCGTTGTTAGGAATGGCGCGGAACTGCTGGGCGAGGTCAAATCATGATGGGTTGTAGTGTGAAAGGATTTGAATGTCTGGCTTGGGGCGTTGGAGGGAAAACTTGGGCTGGCAATGTTGATTTGGGCTGCGAGGATTGAAAGAATATTCACTATCACGAAAGTAGATTCAAATGAAATGATTGACAGATAGAAGTCTCGGTGTTTAGAAGATGAGTGCTTCTTACGCAGAGAATGGCGGCTTTGCTTACCGAAAAATACTCGTTCCAACGAACGAGAATCTTCGGAAAGCTGTTTTCTATGTTCACTTCTTGATTGCAGATATTAACTTTGATCTCGTTATCGCTAAGCCGCGCTTGTATTCTCTCTCCAAATGAATCGCTTCCCCCCAGGTAGTAAAAATCTGCAAAAAAAAGTTCAGTTTCCTAAACCTATTAATTTGTTAGCAACGTCTCATAGAGGTCATGATTTGAAAGAGAAACCAGAGAACATCAAGCTCAGAACATTGTGTTAACTCCGAAACACTTTCTCACAGCGCTCGTTCCATGTTCATTTGAGAAAGGAGTCTGTGGGAACCTATAGAACGCAGCTTTGCAAGAAGGTTACGATTGAGCATAACACGTCTCATCGTAGCTTGGGTGGAGGGAAGGAAATGATAGTAATGCCTACATTTTTGTGGGGAGTTTAACTTAACGAGGCAAGTTGAATTGAATTTGAGCGGAAAAGGCTCTTATTTTGATATATGTGGCTGGGTGTTGAGAGAATTCACTTTGAGGTTTTGCCGTTGCGGCTCTTCACCTTTGACCTTTCGAGCCCACACGAATCGCAACGGAACCTCCCACCTTAGAAACTAATATCGGGTAGCTCTAGCAATGTTGCAACCTCGCACAATGGAGTCCCGTCTTCTGGCAGTGCTCTGCTCCGTGAAATAGGGGGGAGGCTCACGTGATATGCATCGCTGACTAAGTACTCATGCGCGACAACGGCGAGGTCAGGTTTCAAAGGGGACTCCAACCTCACTACATCTTGCCTCTCGCACCCCTTCTAGCGACTCATCCCAAAAGCCACAGCCTCAACATCCTCACAATGGCCGATCACCCAAGCCGTCCCCAAACACCACAGGCGATGCTCCACCGCCTCCCCGAAAAGCCCGACCCCTCATACTCCCTTTCCGAGCCCAGGAAACCCTCAAAATACATCATTCTGATCATGGCTTCCACAGCTACAGCAGGCAAAGTCCAAATCTCTAAATCAATCGCAAGTGCACTTTCCTGTCCGCTTTTCCAAGGCGACAGCTTGCACGAAACGTCCGCCAAAGCAGCCAGCGTGGGAGCATCGAGACATCCTGGAGACGAGCAAGCTACATCGTCTGGAGCAAATGAAAGCCGGTATCAGCGCATGTGGCTTTCGAAGATGACGAGGACTGGGTATTTGTTCCCTGAGGAGTCTCGACCGGCTGTTTCAAACGAGGGTTTCTCTGCATTTGGTGGATCGTCGACATCGACGAGTCGGCGTGGCTCAGCTAGTTCTATCGCATCATCAGCATCGGATACTGCGATCTCGACATCTGTCTCGAGTATTGCGAGCAGCTTTGTGTCCTCGGGTGCGCCGACTACGAAATTCATCAACAAGCCTCCCTTCTTTACGTTGTCCGACGAGGAGAAACTGCAGAAGGCGAATCCAGCGCTGATGGTCGTCACGCATCCGGAGCTAGAGGCGTGGCATAAGAAGTCTATTCGGACGGTTGTTGGTGAGTATGGGATTGGTGTTATTTTTGTACCCCTAGGAGGAGAGGAGGGGGAGGAGGGGGAGTTACCGGTGTTGAAACCCTTGGATCCGAGGACTATGACGAGTTTCGGGTCTTTCGGCGTTGTTCAAAAGCCTGCGGCTAAAACATTGGACGAGGAGATTGTGTTGAAAGTTGATGGTGGAGGGAATGTTGAGGATATCATCGAGGATATTGTGAGTGGTGTGAATGAGATCATGAATGCATAGCTATAGTCTACCAATGCGGGTTTGTTTGAAAAAATGAAGGGAAGACACCAAGAAGAAGAAATAGAGCGAGGTGGGAAATGAGCTAGATACTTGGAGTAATGGAAATCAAACTCATTGAGCCATGCAGCATCTGGGCAAACGAGGTGGGCAATAGGGGGAGAAGCACGTGACCCGAGTGGGTTATCAAATCCAATCAACATGAACCCAGCCAATGGGATGTCTAGCTACGAATAGATCACCGAATCCACCCCAATGTTCAGCTTGAATACCCTCCAAATCGCCTATCTTTCAGCTTCTCAAACTTGTGATTGTGGTGGCTTTCCTTGGCACGGCAGAAGCAAACTCCTTAACCAATTATAACGGTACCCCAACGCCAAACATCGAGAGCTTGCAGCCAATTCTCTCAGCCCTGCTGCTGCCAAGTTTTGAGGCTGGACTTCAAATATTTTCTCTTCCTGCACATTCTCGCCCCAGGGTTTGTGCTCATAAGAGAATGCTTTCAAAAATCCGACAACATGGAGGCTCAGAAATTGAGCAAATACCAGGGGTCGAAGTTCGCGGAGGGGAGGCTGAAGCTCTCAACGGCTCGTACCGAGTGCCATAAAAGGAAGCAAAAGGTCTGTCTCCAAAAGATTGCGGACTTGGGGAATGTTCTAAGAACCGAGAAAGTGCAACCAACAGCAGTCGTGTCAGAATTGCTCGAGAAGATATCCTCCGCCTCAATGCATATATCGCAGGAAATTGTAAGTGATCTGTTCCACAATTTCTCACGCTCTCACGCTCAATAGTATTGAAGGGATGTCGCTACTCCCGGGGAGGCCAACAAAATTTCGGCAGTTCAACCAGGCTCAAATGAATTCCAAGGAGCCTCTTCCTCTCAGGATTGGGCGCTTAGTAGAACCAATGGCCACACAGATGGCTTCATGAAAGATTCAACTCCTTCCAGTATTGGATCCAGCGCAACCAAAGCCCACTCAACCAGAGACAACCTGCATGTCTCTTATGTGGAAAACCTAGATGACTTTAATCCAGACTCATACCAGAATTCTTTGAACACAATAATCACCCGAATGTCTGACGCTGTTGTTCCTGAAGACGGAGAAGGGTATAAACGACCACTGCATTCCCACCCAGGCCCCAATCATCTTTTGGCTCCCTTATCCAACACCGTCTCCGTTGAACCCCTCCAATTCCTCGGCATCACTCCCACAGCCGAGAAAGCAGCATTGCTAAGTGCATGTAGGTTCACCTTTCTATTGGCCCGAATAAATAACGCAGAATTAACCTCTCTTCCCACAGTCGTCAAACTCCTGACCAAATACACCGTCTCCCTAGACGGTCACGCAGTCCCCAATTACTACAATTCGCACTTCGTGCCCTGGTCCCTCAAATCCCCTCTTCTCGCCACCCTCTCAATCTACACAACAGCAGCCATACAGTCCGAATCTCTCAAAGTACCACCAAACAGCAACCCTCTTGTCCTCTCCTACAAACTAACCGCAATCCAACTCCTCAACGAGAAGCTGAGGAGTGAGAAAGGACTGGACGAGCAAGTGGGAAACGAAGCAATATGTGCAGTTGCTATTTTGGTAAGTATGGAATGGTACTGGAGCGAGTTTGATGTGATTGAGAAGCATTTGAAGGGCTTAGTGGAGATGGTCAGGTTGCGTGGTGGACTAGGAGAGTTGGGCCTGCACGAGTTCTTGAAACGGATGATTCTGATGTAGTTCCCCCCTACATTCCTGAAATTCAACTCACTAACCGATTTGGAAGTGTTGATTACAATATTGCGACGACATACGATCGCGAGCCATCCATTCCGCACAACGTGGTGCTCCTTCCTCCCCACCCAGCTCATGTAATGGCGCCGCTGCTCTCCTCCTGCGGAATAACTTTTCAAGCTCACCAAGAAGTGCTGGGGATAAGTAAGGAAACGGCAGTTACTCTGGATAATGTGAAATTCCTTCTTCTCGCAACGGTAAAAGGGGTTGATCGTCCCATGACTTTACAAGATCGATCAAAACTACGAAGAACCGCACTCTGGACTCGAGACTGGCTCGCTAATCTGCCCACCAGTCATGAACCTGACAGCCATTTATTACAAGACTTTGTATACCAAAGCTGTAGGATAGCAGCGCATATCTACTGCCGCGCCATCGCAGAGCACACTTCTCTTTCCAAAGCATATGGGATCCAAGATCTAGCTCAGCTCTGGGGAAGTGTTTGGCGAGTAAGCTTGAGCAGATGGAAGCAGCTCCCCGGCATCTTTCTCTGGGTACTACTCAGTGCGATTCAAGCCGAGGAGGCGACCCCATACGGAAGATTTTTAAAGAGTATGGTGAAGGGCGTGATGACTTATTTGGCTGTTGATCACTGAGATGTCGTGGATGCTGCGGGGATGGGCTTTGTGAGGCTGCAGAGGTGGCTGAGGAGTAAGAATTATGGGGATGATGGGGAAGAGGTGATAACTGAGGCGGGGAAGCTGGAAGTTGGAGAGTTTTTGCATATTTACCAGGTCACAGGATAATAGGACTACTGAATGATATTCCATCTAAGCCCCGGGCTATACAATTGTGAGTGATTTTCTACAACCCATCGCACAGAGATATGCACCCTTTAGCGGAAGCTTCAAAACCCTCTTTTGATGCCCTTTAGGTGCTTGCTGAGTTGCGGAGGGCGTGTGTAGGGTGAACCCTTGGTTATTTTTGCACTTTCAATGTTGTCTTTACACCTTCTGATCTTATCTCGTTTTAGAACAATGCGCACCTTCCCCCAATTCTGCTTCACTCGCCCATAACCAGGTCCTAAAGACCTGGAAAGGTCCGACACAAGATCGACAAGCTCATCGATATCCTCTTTGACCAGTTCCAAAGCCTGTCTAATCCATTGCTCGTGTTCGTCCGAATCCAACGTAGCTTCATGTTGATGTCGGATGGTGTCTAAGCCTTTCACGAGAAGCTGCAGCTCTCGCGAGATACGTTGAACATTGGCTGGTGCATCTTCGATGGCATCCCAAAACTCCGCAGCTTTCCTTAAAGCATCGCCCAGTTGAATGGCAAGCGTTGCAATACTGATTATACTTGCTGCCGCACCAACAGCTTCCATTTTGACCGTTTGGCGAAGAGAAAGTCTACAAAGGCAGTCTCGCCTTTATTACCTTGGAATCCCTCCAGGTTTAGCGAGGGAAAAGCGTTTATATTTTTAAATGTTGGCGACAAAATTAACACAGGTTTGTGGCGTCTTCGAGTAAGATAGTCGGCTCCGCAAGCGTTCGAGTCCGAGACGGAACCTCCGCAATTGACAGTAATGATTAGTGTGTAAGGGGTTTGATGGTGTGATCGGGAGATAGGCTGCGCAGCGTAAGATATGTGTAGTGTGCCACGTGGGCGGCCTCAGCCACATTGCTTTCCTGCCGGGAAACGCCAAACCAGTAGCGGCAAGGTATGCTGCTATGATATCGGAATGAGGCTTCGAAAGCCTTTGCGAGAGGCTTCGCAAGAGTTTGCCTATTGCTTCGAGCATGGACTTAAGAAATTATTTGAAATGCTGATTCGAGGTTATTATTGAGGGGAGTATGGCGGGTGTCACATGATCAATTAATGATTTTCTTGTAATCCGATATTTTATTACTACGCTGTTATTAATGCCGAGGATCGTTTTCCAATTTTTCCAACCGGATTTATATAGGCTCTGGTCGGCCTTTATCCTCTCCTTTCCCTCTATTTTCTTTATTAGTACAAGTAAACAGTCGAGCCCATTGGCGGGATCGACTGATGCCAATCACGTGGGTACACGACTAATCCACCCTGTCAAAAAGAACTGGGGTTCTGGCTGTTTCTAAAGTGTCTTATAAAACTAGCTTATTTATTGAAAACTACGTCCCTTGGTCTGGTATGACCTTACAAGTAACTAGCACAGCAGGAGCAGAGGTAGGTGGAAGGCTAGGTTGAATTGATTAAGGAGAAAAAGAAGGAGATAAAAAAGGGGCTTACGGCCTTATATCCTCACTCCCTCACTCGTGCCCCATACTGGTCGTATGGTCCTCGCTCACGCTCCACTCCCTCCACGTGACCTGTCTTCTCAAAACTATTTATATATACATATAATTAAAGCAAAATCAATCACATACGACCATAGACTGAGGAGAAATGGGCATCCCGTCCGCTCTGCCATACACAAGCCTCAGATCGGCAGATTAGTAGTTGGGTGGGTGACCACCAGCGAATACCTGCTGTTGTGTGTTTTTGCCTTTTTGTTTGACACTCTCGTTTTTTTATGTTTCTATGCGGAACAGCCCCTGTCGTCGGATGCAGCCCCTTGAAGTTACCGCTAGCTGCGCCAATGGAAACCCCTGCAACCGAACGCGGAACTCATGTCGGCATGCCTCCCGACGCTTCTTTTGCCTTTCCCCAACTACCGCTAAGAAGTTGTTCCCACCTGAACGGTCGAATTAGCCTGACTTAACCTGTTATACAGAATGGTACTCCTATTGCAACCACTTGTCAACAATATATCGGGGTTAGTGCTCAGGGGGTGATGGCTCGCTAAGAAAGTGGGTGAAGAGCTAAGATTCAATCTTGGGAAGGAGCAAAATGTATAATTCGTTCCAGAAGAATGGGGATGAAATTGCTAGGAAAGTTCTATGAGCAACAACAAGGACAGATTTTAAATCGTTAATAGATTTCTCTTCCTCTAACTTGCAGATATGGAGTAGAAAGAAAGCCCTCATCTTCACTGCATATGATCGAGTAAGGGCCTGTTTCGCACGGCCGCACGCTTTTGATTACTGGTAATCACGACAGCCAAATGCTGGCTTTCGTTTACTCGATAATTAAAGCTAATACTTGACAAATTAAAAGTGTTTGGCAAGAAACAAATACTCAATAATTACTGTAATCACCGAGGTTTTAGCTTTATCTCTGCAACCGTATTTAGCCCACTAAGCCTCTATTTTTTAGTTGGTCTGCGACGACTCAACACCTCCTCGCGGTACAGACTGGAAACCTATAGCTTTCCGAGGATAAGCTATAGGGCTAAGATTGAGTCAAACGATGCTCCTTGAACGGTACAATTCGACTGCATTATCCCGAATCGACTGCGATATGACTTGATCTCGAGATCTTTCTTCGATACCCTCCCGCTCGCATACCGGGCGCTCCCTCGACAATACCTCTCGATCTCTTACCGGAGTCCTCTCTTTTCAGCTGAGATAGCCTGCTAGCCTTGGCGATACCGAGCAGTAGTAGTCGGTACACCTCTCAGAATAGATCAGTATCTTACGGATATACCTTGCCGCTTTATATATCTGTATAATATCCCCCTTTACGGAGATCTTCTTATAGTTCAGGGCCTTTTAGAAGGTACCAAATTATGCTATAGCTTATATCCTTAAGCCGGTAAATACCTCTCGAAAGGGAGGCAGTTCTAATTCTTTGAATCGGGGGGATATACCCGGACAAATCTCTATATTTACGAGTAGTAACTGAAATATACAAGGCTTAGGGTTATTACGGATAGTAATATAGAGTATAAATAGAAATTCGTTATAGATGGCATATTTGAGAGTAACTTAAGAGAGTACTCTATATTTAATAGAGTATCCCTGGATATGGGCAAGGGAAGAGCCTCTCGAAGGAGGAGAGCGGCCAGAATGGGTTCGATTCCCTAGTTAGGTAGCCACCTGGCCAGATATAGTATATAAGAGATGGAGTGGCCGGGGTCCTCCTTTCTTGGACATTATCCCACCTATAAAGCACTATTAGTAGGACCGCTTTTATATATATTACAGCCTGAGGCGCATGTAACTCTCCTCTCTTTAGCCTGAAAAACGTATGAGCTAGTAAGGAATCAAAAACAAGAACTTGCCATCTATTTTTTAGTTTCGCTAATCCCGTACTTCTCCTTTCCTAATAATTAGCGATTACTCCCTATAATTATAGTATTTTAAAGCCTAGATTTATTTATTATTAAATAGAAAAGTAATTAATAAAATAATTATATCTTATATTACTTATTATTAAATAAATTAATATAAGATATACTGTTACTAGAATCGCAAAATATAAAGCTTTAGAAAGAATTTATGCCCTAGAAAGGTTTATAAAGGTAGCAAAACCTAGTATTCAAATACTTAGCATCTATAGAACTGCCTATAATAAGTGGTTCTGCGGATGCTAAGATTAGTATAGGAGCGATTACTGGTTCATAGAGATATGCGAAATACTTATTTTTGTAATAAACAGAAGCTGGTGTTCGAATACTGACAAATACCTGCATTCAAGAGTTGCGAAACAGGGCCTAAATAGTTTCATAACAATATGATTTCTTTGCCAACCAATAGAGGAAATCTCAACCCCCCACCCACCCGCTTAGTCATCCGTTCCCCAGCCTGCTCCCTTTGGCACACCGCAACTTCTAACAGCAGTAGCACTTATGAATTAAGTGGCTTTTGGAAGCGCGGAGGTTGAGTGGTAAAAGAAAGGCCTTTCTCTCACCAATTATTCGGTTGGGTCGGGCCTGACACGACAGCTCGGTCAATCGAGCTCCAATGGCGGCGCGATGGCAGCGCGATGGCTTCCAGGAGTGATAATGTTCCAGGATTAGGATCGATTCTTATTCGCCGTCTTCTGCTCCTGCACGTCTGCCAGTGGTCGATCCTACCATTCCTGGTTTTCCTGCACAGTTTGAGGCTGGCTCACGGCGTGTCCCGGTCGGGCGTGGCGTGCTCTGGAATTTGGCGAGCTGCACCGGGTGCACTTCCTTGCTTATTGGTCCAAGAAGCGACTAAACTAGTTGCACTTGACTGACTTGTTTGGCCTCGGATTCAGCTTTCCCTTCTTCTTCACAAGAATGTGCTCCTAATTTCAGGACCGCATTATTCTCTATTGACCGCCTCTTCTTCCGCTCTTACCTTCCGACTCAACATGGCCGACGGCTGCACTTCTACAGTGCTCGGAAAGAGGAAACCAGCCGGCGCTTTGCCTTGGGAGCATGTCAAACCAGACGTTTTCAGTATCTACATTCTTGAAGGCCAGACGCTGAACGTCACCATGACCGAGATTGAGGCAATCTATGGCTTAATAGCAAAGTTCGTTGAAGAATATAACATATGAATCATGGCTAATACGAGTTATAGGGAGAGAAGATGGAAAGAGAAGCTAAAACAATGGGATTTCGTGAAGAACATCACAACCCGGGATTGGCAATGGATGCGTTCAAAATGGAGGGAACGTAAACATGCAGACATAAAGACAGTATTCTATTGTCGACACATTGAAGTGACGCCTGCGATGTTTGAAGTTGAGAAAAGGGGGAATGGAACGGTGGCGCTTAATGGTAGTGAGTGATTCATGCTCAATTCTGGCTCTCACTAACGATGAGTCCAAGGCAAGCCTTCTTACATTTCATACTACCCGTCGAGTCCCGTGGAAGGGGTAATAGATCCTCTACCGTATCTTGGTGCTTATCTGGACCCCGGCAGGCACCCCCACTCGGTCTGCTCGCTGGATACGGACACAGAAAACGATCTGGCTTCTAGCACCAATTTCTTAGAAGCTGTAGACTCTGACGATGTCAATAAATGGATATCCGATCAACACTGGCCTTTGACCCATCGCAGTTGGCTTCACCAACTTAGTGATTGGGAGGACGCCATTACCAGTCATCGCAAGGCCATCCTCGAAGATATTTCGGACTTCGAAGAGATATTGGGCCAAAGTATTTCACAAGACAATTGTTTTCAAGACTTTCAGTCCCAAGAGCAGAGCCATTCGCCAGACCTTTTCGGTATTGGCGCTCATCTTCCAATTGTCTATCTCCCCGGTGACCAGATCGAGCAAAAGAATAGTACTTCGAAGAGCTACTCGCTCGCTCATTTGTTACCTCTGGAGGTGACACTTGCAGAATATCAGTACAAACATGGAGAAACTGGCACTCCAACCTTGAAGCAGCATTTTGAAATCGCCAAAGAACTTGAGGGGCTCGGATATCACCAGAATGCAGAGCACCACTGCCGCAAAATCATAGAACAACACTGGCAGACTGATGTTGAAACACTTCTCGGCATGGTACTCGCCAAGGTCGGTCGCATTGAGGAATCAATGGGTATGCTTAGCCGCGCTCTGACGAGCTTCATTCTCCAGTTCGACACCAATTCTCTTGATGGCAATGGTCGACTTTTCAACCAAATTGAACTTCTTTTCACTGAATTGGTTCTGCTGATGGAGCCAGACCACACAAGCTTGTCTGTATGTTTGTGTCGTTTGATGGCCACTCTCAGCAGCACAAGCTCTGATGCTGGTGTCACTATGGCTCAAATATATCCTCGGCTTTTTATTCATGGCTTCTCTCTTGCATACGAATACTCGCTTCTCGGACTCATTGGGTCGGCAGCCTGGATGTACCAGGTCCTACTTCGGTATTGCACTGAGTCCCTCGATATTGTTCATCACGCCATGGAAAAGGCTACAGCTCATCAGAAATATGGGGTTCTTTTGAGAGAGCAAGGAAATTGGCGATCAAGTGCCAATCAGCTACTCAAGGCCTGCAAATCAGCAAAGCATTCAGTAACATTTGACCGCGGCCTCTGCAGGACGTTGGAGAGCGATTACCTTGGGCTTCTTCCGCACCTGGAAAAGCTCTTAGCAGATGAACTCAGAGAGTGTTTGGATCTCATACGACCACAAATATCCCTCCCCATGAGGAACAGCTCCGAGCTTGTTGGGTGTTCGCACGTAGACCAGTGGCTCGATTCCGACCCGCCTATAAGCGCAACTAACTTCCGTCGCTCCCCACTCTCACAACTTGAACAATTCATGAACCCTCCCAAAATGAACGAAGCGGTATACCCGAGCAAAGAACTCACAGTCCTTACCTCATCGGCGAGCATGAGTGGGAGTGGAAGCCACGACAGGGTCAAGACTTGGCCGGATAGCATTTGGGACGAGTATGCTAACATTCTCGCCATATGTGATGGGATCTCTACATTGTCTACAACTTCATAACTTATTATAATTATCACTTAAACACCTCAAACTGTTTCAACACTTCGATTCCTCTCCTTTAAGTATTACAAAAAGCAATACAAAGCTTATTCGGATAACTCACTCTTAATATTAGCTTTATATTCTTTAATAGTAAGTTTTTTCTATATTTAGACTAAAGCTATTAGAATTTTTAAAGATATTACCTTTTATTTAAATAAAAATCCCGATTTGCTATACTATATAATTAATTCTTTAATATTAGCTTAGTTATAAAGGCATATAAACCTTTTATTAACCTATACTTCTTATATTTGAATATTTTAATTTATATTAACTTTATACTTATATTTAGACTTGTTTATATATTAGAAATATTATTTTTATAAGTGGTTTTTAATAATTCTAGTAATCTTTTTTATTATAAAGTCTTTTACTTTTTTATTTTAATTTAATTATTTTTTGAAACTAGAAATACTAATTAAATATAAGAAAGTTACATATTAGATTTATAGCTTTATTAAAGTATTATTTAAGCTACTTATAATATAATATAAGCTTAAGGAATTAATTACTAAAAAAGCTTTATAATATAAAATATTTAAATATTATAATTTAGCTTTTAATTTAGTTACTTAACTAGTATTATTTATATTTATTACTTTTTATTATTTTTACTTATTTTTAAATTATATAATTATATATATAATATAGCTATATTATTATAGAAATATATATAAAATATTAAGTCTTTTATAAGCTAATATATTATAAGATATATATATTTGTATTTTTATAACTTTTATATTTTAGTTCTAAATATAATATTTATAATAATAATATTAAAATTAAATTTCTAATAAGCTTTATAATTTATATAAAAGCCCTTAAATCTATTTATAAAAATATAATACTTTTTATAAATAAATTATATAATATAAGCTTTTAGGATTAATTATATATAATAAAGTATTATTTTTATAAATAAGCTTTATTAAAGCTATTTAACTAGTTTTTATATTATTATTAATATTTATTATAAGCTTTTTAAGCCTTAATTTTTTTATTTTTTTAAAAAAAAGTTATTAAAAATCTTCTATTAAAGCTCTCTTTTATTTATTATTTTTATAACTAGTTTTTTTATAGCTTTATTTATTATAATTAAAATTCTTTCTTTAAAAAGCCTTTTTAAAGCCTTTTATTATTATTTTAATATATATATTTTTTTATAGCTTTTTTGAATTTTATTCTTTATTTATATTATAATTAATAATAGTTTTATTAATTTCTAGTAATAATATTAAAGAAATAAAATACTTGTTTTAAGCTTTAATACTTTTAGGAAATATTAATATTTTAAAGATTTTAAAAGGCCTTTTTTATATTTTTAATTTTATATTCTGAAATATTTAATTTTATAATTATTATAATAATAATACTTTTTTTTTAATAGCTTATAATTAATAAAACCTGAATTTTAATATTAAACTATTATATATTTAAAGAAATATATAAAGCTTTTAAGATTTTTATTACCTTTTAGTTATTTTGAGAAATAATATATATTATAAAACTATTTAAAATATATAAACTTATAATTATAATACTTATATTAACATTTATTATTTTTATAAAATTATTAAAAAGCTTTAAAGTCTTAAAATTACTTTCTCTTTTTAAAAAAAAATATTTATAAAATCTAGTTTTATAATACTTTTTATTTTAAGCCAATTTTTTATAAGCTTTACTTAATTAAAAGCTTATATATTTAAATATTTTAAAGCTTATAAATGAGCCTTATAAGCTTAGTAATTTGAAGCTTCTTTATATTAAAGTTTTTTTAATAAATATAAATATATAATATAAAGTATAAAAGTAATATTTAGTATTTATAATTTATTAAACTAGTTTAATAAAGCTAAGATTATATATAATATAAATCAAGTAAATAATACTAAATTAATTACTATTTTATAATAGTAAATAGCTTATATATATAGTTCTAAGTTACTTAAATTATATATATTAAATACTTAAATTAGAGAGCCTTATATTTATACTAGTTAAATTATTTCACTTTATAAGATATATTATATTATACTAGCTAAACTAATTCAATCTTACAGGGCATAATATACTAGGTAATAAGCCTATAGCTTAAGCCTCATTAGAGTACAGCCCTATAGGTTTCAGCCCTAATTTCAATACATCCCTGCGTGCCGAAAATTCTGGAATTATGCCACACTTATACGTGTATGCTTCGCTCTCCCTTGAGCTGCCCCGCAATCCTTCCTATTCCCCATCTTCATCACCGCAGTAAATGACGAGCGACCACGCTAGTGAAGCAATTGCGAAGGTCTTTTTACGATAGTATGGACCATCTGAAAATACAGTAGGATTCGAAATCAGCTTCACACCAACTTTCTTTGATTTTAATGTTTGCCCCACATTTTCCGGGTACCAGCTGTATTATCGCTAACTGGCGATTAGACCATGCACTCGCTAACTTCCCCTGCCCATCATATAACTATCACGAGCTTACTCTCACACCATTCTGGCCATAAAAGTCTGGCAGTTAACGGGCTGTAGACTATGGCGATCCCGGTCCTCAAATAAGCTCCTCTATCCGAAGGACGTAATGTATAACCCCAATAAGGGACACTATTTTTGCCGTAACCAAGAAGCAAGACTCTGGTGCCTTCGTTGAAGAGGCTTTCATCCTGCATTCTGCCATCCGCGATATATCTAAAAGAACTAACTTCGCACCCTCTTATGGCATCCCCTCTGCCTAACTTTCCTTTTAAAGAAAGCCAGCCATAGGATACAGCCGAAAATGGTGCTTGATCAGAGACTAAACTAACACCGAAGTCTATTACCTCTGCAGCCTCCGTTTCCATCCTGAACATCTCAACTGCATAGTGGTATGTAGCCCAAGACCATCCGGGTGATTGATAGCCTGTCACCACATTGTTGCAATTATAGGTCAATGATTGATTTTTGTCCAGGTTTGATCCGAATTTTGCTTCGGCTGTCCAGAGAAGATGTCCGAGAAGACATTTCTGCCATAGGCCTGCTACGTATTTGTCATTCCAAACAATCTGCAGCTCGGAAGCGATTCCTGCCAAAGCCGGCAAACGATCTTCTGAAGCGGTGATATTTCGTTTGCTATATGTCTTGATGATGGTCCTCCAAATTTCGTCTTGATTCTGATAATTTTTGGATTTGGGCGAGGCCTCTCTCTCGAAAATAGATAGAGGCAAGTACAAAGTTGAAGGTAACGGGTAAGCCAGAGGCGATGTTAAGGAAATCCAATCGTTTAAATTCTCCGTCAGACAACGCCAGATGACCTCGTTTGAACCATAATACAGAATTCGAGGGGAAAGAAGGAATTCTTGGAAGGTCCAGGCACGGCAGTCCAATGGTTCAGGAGGTCTTTTGAATGTTTTCCGATCTTGGAGCCAGATAGTGCCTGACTGCTTTTCCGAGATATACAAAGGTAAAGAACAAGCAGATGGTAGTGACCGCGGCTTGAGGAAGCCTTCTTTAACATCAGTCGCATTTCCTGCTGCAACAGTCACAGCTGCGTTTTTATAGATTTCGCCCATCAATGCTATCTCCTTGATCTTATCTGGGCCGGAATCCTGTATGATACACAGTGCATCAACCCAGAGATATCGAATCCCAAGGCTACGAGTAACTGCAACTGCGTCCCTAACAGTTTGTGGAAGTTCTGCAAAAGAAATTGCGGCTGTCCTTGCGCCGATGTTGTCTAATGTTGTGATCGTTGGTTGTTGGCCACCCCAACAGTAACTTAAGGCAACATAAGACCCATATTCTTGATGTTTGGGGACATGAAGTTTGAGCGTAGTAGATAGCTCTTCGTAGCCGACATCTATCACTCGACTGGGAAGTGCAGAGGCGTTAGCTTTCCTACACTTATTATGCTCAGCATTACATTTTTTTTAGCTGTGCTCGAATTTTCTTTGTGGAGTTATAGCTGGCAACATCTAGATCTATATCGATTTCTTTAAGACAATTGGATGACGGATTTCCTGGGGTGAAGTTTAGTCTTGGTGAAAGTGTGTGGCCATCATCATATACCTTTAGAAGTATAGGCATGAAATTCGAAACTCGTTGCTAGGGTAGCCTTCCTGTCTTGTATCCTGAAGACCAACTTTGATATTCCAAATATAGGTTGCCTATCAGTCGTCCTTCCATCGGAACTTTCGGCGTAGAATCGGAGGGTGCGTCGGTTTTTGAATGATATCCGTGAGTTGTATATACGGAAGCAACATAAACGGCAGAGAGGACAGCCGAGATCAGCAGAGCTTCGTAGTTCACTCATACTGTAATGCCGATATCCAAGATCCGAGCTAAGAGCCCACATTCCTGCAGAGGTCGAAGTCATTGACGAGCACTTGAGACAGACCGCACCCGGTGTTGTCAGATAATGTGGATCATCCATATCTTGAAAAAAGGAGCAAGTTTTAAAGCGACTGATAAGAAATGGTCTAGAACCATTGGTGTAGACAATTTTTGACATGACATATACTCTATAGGATGCCGTTTATGAAGAGGATTAGGCAGCAACCCACTTTTGACACGTGACACAAAGAGGAGGCAAGTTAGCGAGTGCAGTGTCACATCGCTAGCTGGCTGGTCTACGGAAAGCCGTAAGGATCAATTGACCAAGCGAACGTACGACTCATGACTTATGACTTACGACTCGGCACGTGTCACCCCACCAAAAATCGCAAATGCCCATATATTATATATTATGCCCCTTCCTACTATACTTCTATTATTAGTTGAAATATTTATTCTCTCTCTTTAATTTTGATTTATATATATATATAAGGCTAGGAGAGGGGGAGTGAGGGGGTGAGAAGGGTAAGCAAGCTAGTGAAAAAGTGAAAAGTGAAAAGTGAAAAGCGCTCATTGAAACGTGAGCTTCGAGGCACGTGCATTGCAAGAAAAAAGAAGCCCTATAATTATAGGCTGCTTATTGCTAAATTTTAGGCCCACAATCGCTAAATTATAGGGGTACTAAAGATTTAGCGATATAAATTTTTGGTCAAATTCCCTCGCTTTGCCCCTATCCCCCTTTCCCCCCATGTCTCCCCTCTCTTATCCTTATACTTAGAGAGAGAGAGAGAGAGAGAGAGAGAAGAGTTAAAGAGAGTAAATATTTGAAGTAGTAATAGAGGCACAGGGAGAGGGCGTAGTATATGGGCGTGATATGTGGGTGTTTGCGATTTTGGTGGGGTGGCACGTGCCGAGTGGTAAGTCGAAAACCGAAAGTTGAACAGCTCGCTTGGTCACTTGATCCTTATGGCTTTCCGTAGGCAGCCACAGGAGCCCCGCGATATGCACGCTAAAAATTGATGATCAGTGTCAGCTCGCGATTTTGATGTCTCTGTTCCCTTTAGAGGCCTTGACCAGCAATTTCAATGCCCGGCGAAGCTGGCCATGGACCCTCTCAGTGTAACGGCGAGTGTCATAGCTGTGCTGCAAGCTGCGAATACAATCGTCTCCGTTTGTTGCGACTTTCGCGCTGCAATCAACACCCAACCATGGGCGCTATCTCGCATCATCAGCTCTACCAATGAGCTACGGCTGATCCTCAATCGTCTTGAGCAAATAGCCAATGAGTCTGAGTTGAACTTCGACGAAACAAACATTTCGCGGGTAACCGCCCTGGAAGTTCTTTGCCAGGAGGGAGGAGCAGTTCAAAATTGTTTGGAGGAGCTGAAAACGCTCGAGAAGAGATTAGTTCCTGGAGGCTGGGCAGGAAAAGACGGGAGTAAGAGAAGGGCAGTGATTCAAAGTATTGGATGGCAATTAAAGGGGAAAGAGGCGGAAGAAATGCTCCAGCGGCTAGAGAGATGCAAGAGCACTTTGAACCTGGCTCTCACGATGGATCAAGCTGCTATCATCAAGAACTTGAACCAGACGCTGACGAATGTTGATGAGAACACCAGGTCTCTGTTCAAGCAATTTCAGGACATATCATTAGACGACAGGAAGCGCAGCATCCTTCAGTGGCTATCTCCAATTGATCCCTCTTTACATCATAAAGAGGCTTTAATGGTCCGCCAAGCGGGCACAAACGACTGGTTCTTATCATGCGAGGAGTTTGAGCATTGGATAGGGATTGAGAAGTCCTTCTTGTGGCTGAGTGGCTTCCCGGGATCCGGTAAAACGATTTTGATGTCGACGTTGATCGACTATTTGCAGCAACACACTCATGACAAAGTTCCTACCCTACTCGCCTACTTCTATTGTGATTTCAGAAGCCCGGAGACAAGCGATCCTCTCAATATTGCGGGCTCTCTTCTTGCTCAGATATGCTTCAAGTTGGGTTCCTTTCCAGCCTCCCTCGAGGCTGCCTTCAATAGATGCAACCTGAGTCAATCACCTTACGGCAAGCGGATAAACGTGAGTACAATCACCGATGTCTTCGTCGAGATAGCAAGTCAGCATCGGGTGACGATACTTGTCGATGGGTTGGATGAGTGTCAGAAACGCCAAGATATTTTAGTCTTTTTCCGCCAGCTGGGCACTCAGGGAAAGTTTATCAAGATACTTGTCAGCAGTCGAGATGAAGCCGATATCCGGGAAGCTCTGTCAGATGTCCCGAGAATGCGTTTGGAGGCTTCTTCAGCGTGTCTGGATCGTGACATTGACAATTATATCTCCCACCGGTTAGACAATGATCGAGAGTTTAAGTGGCTGAAGCCATCATTCCAACAGGTCATTCGAGAGCGTCTAGGCACGAAGTCAAAGGGGATGTAAGGCACCTCGCCAAACCTCTAAAACAGGAGCGCTGATATTAACAGGTTTCGCTGGGCCCAATGCCAACTTGATTCGATTTCGAAATTGAAAACCATGAAAGACATTAGACAGGCGCTAAACTGCCTTCCTAGGAGCCTCCAAGAAACATACGAGAAGATCCTAGAGAAAGTTGACCCTGGGTGTGTCGACGTCGTCAGACAAACACTACAGTGGCTAGTCTGCGATGTCTCAACCTTCACTCTTGCAGAACTCTATGAGTCCTTAGCAATCGAGCAAGGCATGGACCGCATTGACGAGGAAGCTCAACTTAGCAGTCCAATGGATATATACGACATGTGCGGCAGTCTCATTGCATTTACCGCGGAAGGCGAAGTCATCCTCGCGCATTTGTCAGTCAAGGACTACCTCCTATCGGACTCAATCAAACACGGCAAAGCCTGTGCATTTTCCCTGTCAGCCCCAGAAGCCAACGCAGAAAACGCCTTCAGGTGTTTGACATACCTCTCATTCGCAGCATTTCGGACCGGCCCCGCTCGGTCAGTAGACGATTTCGAAGTTCGTCTTCTAAATCATCCATTCTTGGAACATGCATCAAAATACTGGCCCTCATATGCCAAAAACGCCGGCTCATCATGCGATGAACTAAAAGCTCATGTTCTGGAATTCTTCACCCCACCTTGCCGGCCTCAATTCATGAGCTGGCTGCAAGTCATCTGCTCAGAGGTGATTACCCCCCGCCAAGACCTTAAAAGAATTGGGATCGAGAGAATGTTTGGTTACAACTACTACCCCAAGCACGCAACGCCACTTTACTACGCAGCATCATTCGGTATCGAACACGTTGTCAAAGCTCTACTCGAGCAAGGTGCAGAAGTCGACGCCACAGGTGGCCTTCTGGGAGCAACGGCTTTCCATGCAGCTGCTCTACGAGGACATATGAAGGTCATGGATATCCTGTTTCAAAATGGCGCGGATCCGAATAAGATGGATTTCGTCAAGATCACGCCACTCAAATCGGCTGCGCTTGTGGGTAATGTTGAAGTTATCAAGTACTTGCTTGAGCATGGCGCGGATCCGGATATCATGGATAATCGGAATATGACTGCGTATGACTGGGTTTGTATGTTAGGGCATGAGGAAGCAAGGAAAGTGCTGGAAACCGTGACGGTGGGAGAAAGTTCGGACTCTTCGGACGGTGACCGTGCGAAGCGGTCGAAACCAAGCACAGCTTGGGTAACAACTGGAGCTGCGTTGCTCCCGGGCCAACGTGGGAGTTCCTCACTTCAAGGCAGTAAGCCAGGCATCGTGGAAGTTACTAAAACTTGGTCGTCGTCGGCTCACAGAGATAGCGATGTACAGTGAGAAAATATTGTACAAGGGACGGGTGGAGTGCTGGGGCTTTCCTTGGAGTTGTTGGCGTGGTTTCGTGATGAGAATCTCGAGTACTTGGGCAATAAATAGATCATTTACTTTTCCACATTGAAAGCATTTAATCATACAATGAGATGTAAAATGCAACTTTCGTTGACTTATTCTCCATTTATTCTCTCTCGCCCCACTAGAAGAAGCTGGAAAGGCGTTGTTTGAACTGCACGAATCGGTCATTCCTTTCGTCTTGGTAATGCGACAAGCTCTAAACTTGTATTATGTAGATTTGCCTGTTCTAAACACACAATGCCGGGTAAAAGAACACAAAGTCAGGTGGTCTGACTAAAGGGGGAAATTGAAGACGAAGATGGAAGTATCATTGTCCGTGCAGTGACAGAAACACTAGTCCAACATTCCTGCAACTTGTGAAAGGGTTACTCTTGACAAGGCTCTGGTAATCGTCAAACAACCAGATCCTTTGCAAGCAGACAAGAATGCAGAAACGCTCGGAATAATATTGAGCTTCAACCGTCCGCTCTCGTGTCGGTATTTTATGATCTGCGCTTCTATTATCAGATTAGAGGCCACGAATTAACGAGCAATAACAGCAATGCGTACAACGCAGGGAATCTTGCAATTGCCATCAATATCAATCTCAATCTCACAACAATGAGATCATTTAACTACGGTTCTCGCTCCAACTTCGCACTAGGGTATATCCCACATCTTATCTAACGCCTAACGCCATGGTCCAAAACAAGATGCTGACTCAGGTACCATGAATTCACAGCCGTTTTCCGACAACCGGGATATGTGCAGGGTACTTTCAGGTCCCCATCCACCTCTGGGTGCTTCTCTTCAAAGTGATCAATCAATGCCTTGTTGTTGGTGCCAAATGTTGCCAGGCACAGATAGCATTGTATGTTGGTCGGATGATCCCTCCTCAGGTGCTCAAGCAGCGCTTCTCCATCGGCGAGTATCTTGCCGCAGTTCACTCGGTTGCAAATTATCTCCGGCATGTAGATGTGTCGCAAACGGTAGAGGGGAAGCTCGAAGGCAGTTGTTTCGCTGTGATGGAGGGAATATGGTGGCAGATGATCGAACACGGAGCAGATTTCGAAAGCGCTGGGAGAAATAGTCAGTGACTGTGCTGACACCATTGATTGGGAAGAAACAACACACGAAGAGGCACCAGCTCAGAGCTTCCAACAGTTGAATGACAACGTAACCGCGCGCCAGCTTTCCTCAGGTCCTCTAATAAGGACAGCTGTGAGGCACTCTCAAAATTCCATAGAAGGCTTCCCTCCGAACGCGTCTTTGGCATTAGACGGTCTGACACTCTCCTTCATATCGAGCAGCTTTGTTGCGGAAGGACTATGAAGGGATGAATGGCAGAAGCCATAAGAGGAGTAAAATGAGGTTTGTGTGGCGTGGCACAGAACGACGGGAGTCGTCCTACGTCTGGAGAACGTATCGATAGGTACGGCCGCAACAAGTGCAGACCTATGGGGAATTTTGGAAGTCGTGAAGTTACACGCGAAGTCTCGGTGGGGTAATTTCTGCCTCAGGTTTCCATCGCTTGAAGTAAGGTTACTCGTTACAACTCCAACTTTCTTTCAACCTCCTCTCATTCCAACCTCTACCGTTATCACTCCAAGCCGGAGGGGCATGGTTTCCCATGTGATATAGAATGTGCTCATTTCAGCTGAATATATTCTCGTCGGTGCTTCTAAATGCCGAGTCTCAATCGTTGTCAGCTGCTGGTCAAGCTGCCTCTGCAACGTGCCGAAGCACTGCACAGTGTTTTTTATTAATTTTCAACACCACATCCACACCCTTTGCCACTAGTACCACTCGACCGGCAGAACAGTGCCTACGCCTAGGTCTTCGGAAGCCTTCCATACATCCCTATCTCCCAGCCACGTTCGATTCGAATGAGGAAGGTGAATCGCTCACACGAACTCTTCGGAACGCTGTATCTCCTCTCGTCAGCCTGACCAAAACCCAAGGCTTGCTCAGTGACGAATTATGAACAACCATCAAACCGTTATGTGGGGAAGCTTGTGTATTTACATTACCCCCTCCCTCTCCGCCTGAACTTCTTTCACTGCGGCTAAACTTGAAAATCTGGAGAACCCGACGGCTCGCCGGGATTTTGAAACAGCAAAGCTGGGGTAAGATCCCAAGAAGATGGGACTAGTCGCCGCGAAAGCTTCATTGACCAATCACACAATTCGGCAGTTAATATAATCGAACAGAAACATCGGGAGAAGTTGGGCTGAGGGCCAAGAACGTGTCGGGCGTTATGAGAAAGGCGGCGTTGCCGAAGATATTGACCTCCCATTGGGATGTGAAGGTCATAAAGTTGGACGAGATATATATTGCATGCTAACCATTAGACATTTTTCTGTCATTACATAGCCTAAAATGCCGCAGACTCAAGGTAGCTTTAAAGCTCGAACGCCGTGTCACCTCTTTTCATCCCCCTTTCAACCAGATGACGGCGAGCTATCCGAAGTCTTGATAATATAAGTATACAGCGCTTTCCTTCTATGAGACCTGCTCTTGTCTTCCCCAGTGCCGCCCAGATCTTTTGCAAATCTTTTACAATAAGACACTTCCGCGCCCATTTCCCTGCATATATCTGATCAGCTTTGATCATATTTTCTTTTCTAGCTTTCGTTGGGTTAATCAGCACGGCGGCTGCCCACGGGAAAGCAACCTCACTGATCATATACGGCGTATTGTGAGTATCGTATTGTCTCACCGCAGATTGTCAACTAATACTTCTAGTTACAACGGCTACAATCCCAGCTACCAGTGCCCCAATCCCCAACCTATCACTGTAGGATGGACAACCCCGACGTCTTAGACTATGGATTTATTGCTCCGGCAGCATACGCCAACGCAGACATTATCTGCCATAGAAAAGCCACCAATGCCCTACTCGCAGCGCCAGTGAGAGCAGGAGCAAAGATTGAAATCCTCTGGAACACTTAGCCCACATCCCACAAAGGACCCATCACAGACTACCTAGCAAACTGCAACGGACCCTGCATAGCAGCCGACAAAACCAAACTCCAATGGTTTGAGATCGACCAGCTGGCGCTCTTGGACCCTAAGCCGGCATACGGCACCTGGCCCAAGGATTTCATGATCGCAAGCAACCTCACCTGGATTATGGAAATTCCCCACCATCGCTCTAGGAAACTACGTCCTCCGCCACGAAATCATAGCTCTCCATGCAGCATCTCAGGCGAACGGAGAGCAGAACTACCCCTTCTGCTTCAACCTTGCGATTTCGTGCAACGGCACAGTTAAGCCGGCCGGTGTTCTTGCCACCTGTTTCTACAAAGCTACAGACCCGGGCGTGCTCTACAATCTTGATGTTGCCCCTCCGGTTCCTCCTTATACGATTCCTGGCCCGCCGGTTTATAGCGGGTCGGTGACGGTTTCGCAGACCAAGATGCCGAAAGCGACGGCTACCTGGGCCGGTGTGAGGGCGCTTAATTCGCGTTCGGCCCAAGTAACTGGGGCAAAGTTCAGACGATGAAATGGAGGAGATGTGGCGGCGGGATCAATGCAATGGTCGAAGGCTCAAAGTTCAAAGAATCCCATGTATTGAAAATACTAAGCTGGGGAACAAAGAAGGGAGGAATGCCTCGACCTTTTAGTATTGCCTCGCCCAAGCATTCCGGCTTGGCTTCGTTTTGCACCTGTTTCCGATACCCTGTTCCCGGCAGATCATGCCGTTACGCCAGCCGTCACAGCAGAGGAGGTTCATGTATATATTGCGGTTTGCATTTATTATAAGAATGGGAATCAATTGGGACAATAATCCTTTTCCACAGAGTATCCAAATGAGTTACTGAGGCCATTAGCGATACTGAGGCCAGTAAGGAGCTAGTCGACAAAACTCGAAACCGAAAATCAAATATCAAACTTAAATGCTCAATTACTCTTTGGTTTAGATAGAAAAATAAAATAAAATAAGAAGATTTAAAGAGTAAAGAGAGAGAGAGAGAGAGAGAGGAAGCAGCGAGGGACTAGGGGAGCTTATGGCGTCTGTGACGGCTGGTGTCACATGGGTGCTACGGGTTGGTTTTAGCTAAGGTTCCAAGCTATGGTTCAAACCAAGCTCGCTTCAAACCAAGCTCGGCGTTTCAGTAGTCTTGGCCATACCTACTTATCCACTGCCACACCTCACTTCACTCCTTCTCTCCTTAGCTTTAGATTCTGTAGGACATTGGAATCATAGATCTTTGAGCATCGTTCTATTGCTTTGTTCCTGCCGTCACAGCGTCTCGCTTAATTTTGCAAGTACCCCTTAACCCTTTCCTCTGACATTTGCGCTCTCCTTAATTATAACTTTAATACCTTTTCTTCCTAGTTATTAAGCTTCTCACTAGTTTTCTTCTCGTTTTTATTAAGTTTAAATATAATCCTTTAATGCCTATGGCACGAGTTTAAGGTGAGAGAGGCTCGTGTACCTTCTCTCGCGCCTCTTAAAAAGTGCCTTAATGTAAGGCACGTAATAGCAGGGTAATGCACAAGTAGTCAAGGTAAGTAAGCTGCAGAGTGACGCTTGCAAGTATAACTGATTCCAAGAATTGATTCCAATAAAAGACTAATTAATGCCCCTTTCCAAAGCTAGGAGCGTCTCCCTATATATTCCCTAGTGCTTAGCCAAGTCTACAAAGCACTTTACTTAATTAGGAAACACGATCCTATGCGATCCGTATAATTCCGATTGCAAGCTTTACCTAAAATAGGAAACTAGATCTATAATATCTGATACCTGTCTATACGCCATTACGTATACCTATTATATTAATTCCCTCTCTGGGCCCTTGTCCCTAAGAGGCCTGAGAAAACTGTAAATAGTTTTATAAATAATTTCCTAAAACTTTCCCGGCCGCTAGTTCTCCCCAAAGACTTCCCATAATTACCCTATTATTATACCAGATAATGGAATTAAGGATATAGTTTACTAATCCTGCCCGGTTAACTTGCAAATTACCTCTAGTAATTTCCCCTTATAAAGATAGTATAGGTATAGTATATACTATTAAATATAAAGCTTTTCTAGTCTTCTAATTAGTTTATAAATTCTAACTTAGCCTTTATTTATAAATAAATTATTACTTTATAGGCCCAAAAGCTTAAAAAAGTTAATTTAATTTTCTAGTTTATTTATAAATTCCTTTTTTAGAATTTTCTAGATATTTCTGGTATAGAGCCAGTTCCGAATTTATAATTACTATTTAGGGAAAAAATATTATAAAAAGGCCTCTTTTTTCTTACTAACTAATCTTTCTTTTCTCTAACTATAATACTATATCTAGCTTCTTCTTATCTCTTGCCTTCTTTTTTTAAGCCTTTTTTAAGCTTCTTTAAGCTCTTTTAAGCTTCTTTAAGCTCTTTTAAGCTTCTTTAAGCTCTTTTAAGCTTCTTTAAGCTTTATTTAAGTTTTCTTCTAATTCCCTCTTTTATTTCTTTATTTATTAAAATAAATATTTCTCTTAATACTTATTAGCCTATTACTACCTATTTGGCTAATATTTCTATATTCTTAATTTGCCTTTACTATTTTTAATATTCCAAGAATATTACTAAGTTTTCTAATCTTATTTATATTAAAAGTAATAATTACTTAATATATAATTACTATTACTCTAAGAATAAGAAATATAATTCTATAAATTATAAATTTCTTCTTTTATTTCTTATTCTAATACTATCTAAAATTTCTTAAATATATATAATATAATTAAATTACTTTTTTTAAGCTATTAATATATATAAGTATTTTCTCTAATCTTTATCTAAAAAAAAAAAGGCTATTATTACTTTTCTTTTATACTAAACTATATATATTTCTTATATTAAAGCTATTATTTAAAACTAATAAATTTCTCTAATAATTCAAGAAATAAGTTAAGTAATTCTTACTAGCTTAGTATAAATATAAAGTACTCTTAATAGTATAATTAATATTCTTTAGTATTAAATAAGCTTATTTCTTTCTTATTTCTTATTAATAGCTAATAGTTTTATAAGCTAATTTATTATTTATTTTTCGAGAGAATTCTAATAAGAATAATAATAAGAATAGTAGAAAATAGTTATAAAAATAAGGTATTTATAAGATATAGAAATTAGAATTTTTAAAGTTCTTAATAATTTTTATATAGCTTTTCTAAGAATAAATATATGGTTTTTAATAGTTTCCTAATAAAAGTATTTATTTTTTATATTTCTATTTAGCTAATAGTATTATAATATTACTTTTTTCCAAATGTTCTTATAATTCTTAAGCTATATTCTCTAGATTACTTAATAGTTCCTATATATTATTTACTAGTAAATAGCTCTTCTAATAAATAAGATATTTCTGTCGGTTTACTAGTAATATATAGTACTATTACATATTCGTGAAATGCTATTTATATATAATTAGTAAAGTTATTATTATTTAGAAGTAAGAATTATAGTATTATGGTATTAATATGTAATTCCTAAATCTGCTAAGCCTAAAGGGGTCTAGTCTACTAGTCGAGTTACTAATAGGACGCAAGGTCACATGACTATATTCCGTATCCTATATCCCGTTACCCATATCTCATTACTCATATCCCGTATCCCGTATCCCGTAACTATATATGTGACTTCTAAAGAAATAGCTATACTAATACTAGAAACTCTCTAAAAAACACGAAAAATAGTATCTTCCTCTAATTATATACAAATTCCCTAATCCGGCCTAGTACCAGATTCCCAAATATTCTATATATCTATATTACTTCTAAGGGTTTTGGTTATATACCAAAGGCTGCGGCCTTTTATATGTAACTTCTATTCCTATAATATTCTCTTATCTTATATATCTATTTTCTGCCTTATCCGTACTCGACCTATTCCTCTATATCTAATTATATGGTATTCGTATTAATTAGGCGCTTGAGGGCATTTATTAGCTTCGATTTCGTTATGAAATCGGTAGGATTCAATTCTCCCTTAATTCATTTAACTTCTATAATCTCTTGTTATTTATATACCTGGCAGAGGTATATTATATTAATTATTAGATACTTTTTACAAATAGTTTCTAATTTAATAAGGTATTTATATAATAACTTTGAATCCGTATAGACTACTAGTAATAATTCTATTTCTAGTACTTTATTAATTATAGATTTGACTAAAGCATTTATATTAAAACTATAAGCCATACTATAGAGTTCCGAAGCTAGGATACTTCTAGTAACTCTCTTATATTTAGTAGAGAACTAGTGAATAATATTAGTATATCTAGTTCCGTTTACTAAAACTAGAATATATCTGATTTAAGAGAAGAGATCTCTATTATTTATAAATAAAGTATTCGTAAAAATAATTAAGTATAAGGATTTCTTTACTAGCTTTATAAATCTCAGTCCTCTAGCGGCATTCTTAATTTGCTATTAAA